ACCTGAAAGAACTTAACAAAATAAATGTAGTTCAAGTATTTTCCATATTAAGCCACTTTATAGTGCAATTATATGGAAGGTTGAGGAAAATTTTGTTTCTTTTCAGAAATGGGGACTAACTTATTACTGGACAATAAGTTGGAGACCCATAGAGCAATGTTTCATTTAATTAAAGTGAAAGGAATTCCAGGTACACCACGTGTGAGACTCAAATCTTTTCAACATGGAACGTGCCACGTGGCCATGCGGGTTTGAGAAATTTACGCTCCAAATTGACAACACTCGAAAATAAGAAAAGTTCAAGGAGTAAATAAAAAGAAAATGAAAAGAAAAAAAAAAACAAGTCTCACTTTAAATAATGTTTTAAGAGGTAGAATTTTTCGAAAAAGGCCAAGCGGAAAAATACTGTATATTGCAATTAGTATTTTTTAAAATGCTATGGAAGCTTAGGGTCAATCTACCCTAATAAAGTCATAAAACCACAAGCTTAAAACGTTTTGTTAAGGTAGTAAATTATATTAACAAAATAAATCAAAATGACTTTGTTTGGGCAGGTTGACCCTAAGCTTAAATCTGATTCAATAATTAATTGGAAATGATTGAAGCAATATACGATTGGAGGCATACTACATTTATATCCAGATTCAATGACAGATTTTTAAACATAAATACACTTGACATCATTCATTGACAGAGAAAAGTTAAGCAACAAATGTCAATCAAGAATTGCCAAGTTAATCTATCAAACAATAGTCTGTCATTGAGCCTATTCAAGTAGCATTATTCAGGCTTTATAGAGTATATCGGATACACTTTTGGATATTTTAATGGGGATTGTTATGAAACTAGGGATTTTTTGAACTTCGGGTGCAATAATAAATTTATGAAATCCCCTCCAAGTAGCAAGTTTGAAAGTGACTGTAACACTTGCCCGTATAACAATGACGAGGAGTATAATCAAGACGAATAAAATTTAGTTATTTGATTTTTACATTTTACTTGATTAGTGTAATTTTACACTTATTCAGGTTATCAAAAGTGCACATATGGAGTACATTTATTGAATTGATAAATAATATTTTTATATATTGTTTATTTTAGGAGAAACTCGATGTTCAATGGCTTATGGAGAAATGGAGTGAAAAACAAATAAAAAGAACTATAAGGGAACATATTTTGAAAGATGGGAATCGAGGTGTCAAGAATTGAAAGATGAAGGACATTCAATACAATATAGAAAGGACTAGACATGAACCAGCATGTAAATTCATGAACTGATATGAATTGGAGGCCAAAAATGTGAACCTTGCAATCTAAGGCTCTCCCATATTCGATCACAAGGGGGTCAATCAATTAACAGAATAGAGCATGGCTTCACCATGCGTACGTATGATACATTAATTCAACCTCCAATTGAAATGTGTGGGTTTTAACCTAGTAGTTGTTGTTGTTGTTGTTATTCATCTTGCAACAAGGAGATTGCCATTTTAAAAGAATAATATAAAAAACACATATGTACTTTCAAGATTCGTGATTCGGCACGAAAGAATCGAAGCAAGAAGATTGGAATTTTTTGGAAGACTTCGTTGAAGGGATATTCAAGGAGACAAAAATTCGTCTTCTACATTTCTTTGCAATTTGATATTTCCGATGATGAACTATCAATTTAATATGTATTTTTGTATTATGAACATTATAGGTTAAATCCATTAGTTCTTAGGATGATGATGGTTGATGTTTAATTCAAGAATTTCTTTTTTTTATTCTCAATTTGTGTTTGATTGATTGATGTCAATGTTTTAATTAATGTTTAAATGAAAGATCAATCTTAAAACACGCATGACTTAATTTGTTTCCTTGGATTCAAAGTAGACGTTACATATAATTGACAATCAGCGTAAAAATTCCGTAGACGTTACATATAATTGTTTATTCTTTGTGCAATTCATTTAACTAATCTCATGATTGTGATTGAATGAATTCTTACCTATTTGAATTCAAAATAAGATACTATGGATCATATGTGTAAGTATGTTTATCAATACTTGAAAAAGATTGTAAGTAACACAAAACAAAATTATTGATAGTCAGTCTAAGCATAAATTGTGTTAAAAAACTAGAAGTTAAGAATTATAACTATACTAATGGCACAGTTGGATTCCTAGCATATTTTTCTCTATCAATCTCGTTTCGTCCAATCTTTCATTCGTATCTAGATAAATAATCATAGTACATGTTAGAATCATAGTTACTTAACTCAATCATCAATCGTATTTTTATTTGTTTAAACTCTAATTGATTGAATTTAAACCAAAATCAAAATCCTAGTGGGAATGATATTCTTTTACTTGTTTTCTATGTCACCAAATCCATACACTTGCAGGATTTCAACCAGTAATCTCCATCTTGAAATGAGCTAGGTCAATTTTTCAACATCTTTAATTGAAGATTAAGTCGAACACCCTTTTTAATACTGTACTTTGTAATATATTGATTATTAATAAAATATGTCATGTATAGTGACTTAGATTAAAAATAAGACAAGATTGATTAAAATTAAATCAGAGATTACAATTTTGTTAGATAAATCCTAGATTGAGTAGAATCGACCTTATACATGTTACTTTAAAAAATATATAACAGTATAATGGGAATAATAAAATTAAACAAAGTTCCAGTTTGACCTTCATTTATTAAAATTCAGTTTTCTTCAAATTCATTTTTAACCATTTATTTAATGGGATTCACAATATTTTATCTACTTAATTTTCAACTACCCGATTAATCAATTTTTATAGTAATCTACTAAATATTTGGTTTTTTTGGGAACGAAGCGTACTATTTCACACTACTTATTTATTTGATTGTTTCTTTGAGGGTGTTTGACACTCATTTTTAAGGGAAAATGAATTTTAGAATGGTAGGTTGATGGAGAATGTATGGATGAAAATTTTTTTATTTACATATAATATTATTTTAATGAAAAATGTGTGGTTGAAAAGAAGAGAGAGAAAAATGCATTTTGAAAAAAAAAAAGAGGGAATCAAACGGGCCTTTAATAATTCTGTAGGGTTACTTGATACCCAATAAATCTGGGCAATGATATTAAACCGATGTTGGATAAGTTATATCGACACCTTAGTGATAGCTCGACCCGGAAACACCTCGGGGCCATTTGAAACAACTTAATTGAGTTAATGTTGCTCGTAACCAAATATTTTTGGATGGCCCAAGTTGTGGCTTTGTATTGGGATGATATATTGGTTATTTGGATTGTTGGTTTAATTACCCTTTGGTATTGGTTGACGTAAACTAACTCATTATATATATACTCATCCCTAGCCATTTTCTAGTGTTTTGGTCTTGTGAGAAAAAGAGGAAACACATGAGTTTTTGGTCGATTTAGTTCTTTTTCTTTGAGCTTCTAATTGCTACTCTATTTTCTCTTCCTTTGTAGCTTGCAAACCAATCACCAAGTGTCTCCTTTGTGGATGAAGACTTGTGACAACCAAG